CGTCAGCTCTACTCATATCTTTGTGGGAAAATTGTACTAGCACTCCTCATCACACATGTCATACAACAATCTCTTGCCGGAGGTTGACTCGGACGCCCTCAAGGCTGGACGGGTATTCGGGTACCCCGGCCGTAGCGACTTGTCGCAACTTCGATGGCGACCTCCTCGAACGGGTTTGAAGACATGCAGAAATGTGGACCAACTCTTCCGGCCCGTCCGCTTGCAACCCATTCAGCCTCAGCGTGTGATCCGATCAGTCCGGACCTCTTTAATGCTCTTCATCCTCTCCGGAACCTGTTGACAACCTGCCTGAAACGCCTCTTGATCCCTCCTGCAACAGCTTGTCGGTTGGTCTTGATCCGAGGCTCACTCAGTTGTTCTCCTGCAGACTGCACACATACACACACACAGACGGATACGATGAGCAACAGTGAGGTACGGCGTCCAATCAATACGGATCTCCAAGTTGTCGTTACCACGTTTCCTTATGCCTGTACATGTTAAGCTGCACAGCACGACTCTTTCTGTCTCTCCACATTATGCAATCCTCTCACGGAAACAGGCCAGCATTGATCCAGTTGCCACCCTTCGCTTATCGATTGCAATGACGGTAGAAGTTGTTTATGGTTGAGTCGTCGGGCCAGGCTGGGCTGAGCTGGCTGTATCCACGCCGCAGTGCTTTTCACCTCGACACGTGATCCGTGACGGATCAGCCGAAGCAGTCGTGCCTGAGAGAGGATCTCTTCTCGATACGCTCCGGCGATCGAGACGCTAGGCGGGTTCCGACTCATCTCTTGAGTCTAGTCTGCCAATCGTGCTGCCGTTTTGACGGCAAGTCTGTGTTTCTCTGGCTTTCTGTGTCTGTGTGTCTGATGCAGCGATTGGTGGCGTTCGATTAGACCGGAAGATGACTACGAACACCTCCAGGCTTTGTTGGAACTGTCCCATTAGATTCCGGTGAAGACAAGCCAAGTTTTCGCCTTTCCCACCGCGGAGATCCTCGAAGCAAACCATCATTCTTGCGACCAACTTCACGCCATCAAGTCAGGCGAACTGACTTTCTGATTGGGTGTGTGTCGAAACAGCTGGCAGACTATGAATAAGAGTTGTCTGTACCACAGATCGCCTAAGGTGATAGAGAAATGATCATTCATTTTCCAGCAGTCCCATACGAAATCCTCCGTTTCATGTGACTAAGCCTTGCCCACGCAAAAGTAGTCTCTGCTCGGCCGGAATGGACTGCAATTTTGACATTGCCTCAGCTTCATCAACACTCCTAAGTGGACTCGAACTCGTAGATTGCAGCCTCTAGTTCCGACAAATGTGAGTTTTAGGGCAAGTCAAGCTATCCCGTTTCACTTTTATAGTTGAATTGTCGATGAGAAAAACTAATACTTTACAGAAGTTGTTTAGCTTTGTTTTCGCAACTTGAAAGATGTAGAGAAACACAACTTGTTCAGAGTCCATATTATGCACGATAATTTGTAAATTCGTATCAGATTAGGGTTTCGAGACTACCAGTAAATCAGTGTAATGAGATGTATTCATGCTATTTCGTCTAAGGTGATGAAGGACTGGTAGTAGAATTTTCTCACAATGATATGAGTTGAGCTGACGTT